CACGACCACCAGCAGCAGTAGCAGCACTAGCACCTCATCATCAAGCAGCACGTCCACCACCACATCTACCAGCTCAACTTCGAGCACCAGTAGCAGCACCTCTTCAACTAGCACCTCCTCAACTACCACGTCTTCAACCAGCACGTCGTCAACCAGCAGCTCTTCAACAAGTACCTCATCAACAAGTACATCTTCATCGAGCACCTCTTCAACAACAACCTCTTCGACAAGTACCAGCTCAACGTCGACCACATCGTCAAGTACCAGCAGCACTTCCTCCTCCACGACCACAACAAGCACGAGCAGCACTAGTAGCTCGACCTCGAGCAGCTCCTCAACGTCAACATCATCCAGCTCGAGCTCTACATCCAGCTCAAGCTCTACTACCGCAACCTCAACATCAACTGCCAGTACGACAACTGTGACATCTACCACTACTTCTTCCAGTTCAAGTACCACATCGTCATCGACAACAACAACCAGCAGCACAAGCACTAGCACAACATCGTCAAGCAGCACCTCGACATCAACATCCTCCAGCTCAACCTCATCAACGAGCACATCGAGCAGTAGTACAAGCACATCATCAACATCCAGTTCATCAAGCAGCACTTCTTCAACAAGCACCTCCAGTACGAGCAGCAGTTCTACCTCCACAACATCCAGCAGCACTTCGTCTTCAAGTACAACAAGCTCGTCAACAAGCACAAGCAGCAGCAGCAGCACGAGCACTTCTTCGTCTAGCACAAGTAGCACATCCACATCCAGCTCGTCAAGCACCACTTCGTCCACTAGCACTTCGTCAAGCAGCTCCACAACCAGTAGTAGTTCCACAAGTAGCACGTCGACAACTAGCAGCTCATCAACCACATCATCCTCCAGCACAAGCAGCAGCAGTTCATCCTCCTCCTCGACGACATCCAGCAGCAGCACTAGCACATCATCCACGAGTTCCAGCACAACAACATCTTCAAGCAGCAGCAGTTCCAGTTCGTCAACGACGTCGACCTCCAGCAGCACATCTACAAGCAGCACTTCAAGCAGTAGCACATCCAGCTCCTCCACGTCATCCACCTCCAGTACAACGTCATCCAGCAGCACGAGCTCCACCAGCACGAGCAGCAGTAGCAGCACCAGCAGCTCTTCAACGTCCACATCATCCAGCAGCAGCTCAAGTAGCAGCAGCAGCAGCAGCTCGTCGTCCACAAGCAGCAGCTCAACATCCACAACATCCAGCAGCTCAACATCCAGCAGCACCAGCACCAGCTCCTCAAGTTCCAGTAGCAGCAGCACAACAACAACTTCAACGAGCACATCGTCCTCTACAAGCACATCCTCCAGCACCAGCAGCACTTCCAGCTCTTCGAGCACTTCGTCCACGACATCCACATCAAGTAGCACCTCAAGCAGCAGCTCAACGAGCACGTCCAGCACAACATCCACCTCAACATCTTCATCCAGCACAACGTCGAGCAGTTCAAGTTCAACATCGTCGACGTCCACAAGTACATCAAGTACGACATCATCGTCTAGCTCAACAAGCACAACTTCAACATCATCAAGCAGCAGCACGTCATCATCAACAACCTCAAGCTCATCAAGCACAAGCAGCACATCTACAACATCAACATCATCAACAAGCTCGACTTCGAGCACCTCCAGCAGCACAAGCAGCAGTACATCCAGCACTTCCTCAACTTCTTCGTCCACAAGCTCCACAAGCACTTCCAGCACCTCCTCCAGCACGAGTTCAAGCACAACATCCTCCACAACTTCAACTTCGACCTCCACCACCACAACATCCTCAACCACCTCGTCCACATCAACTTCCACCACATCATCCAGCACCTCGAGTTCAAGCTCGTCAACATCTTCAAGCAGTTCAACTACTTCCACCTCAACGAGTAGCACTTCCACTTCTAGTAGTTCGTCCAGCACCACAACGACGTCATCGTCTAGCACATCGTCAACTTCTACATCGTCAAGCTCAACATCAACAACGAGCACCTCATCTACTTCCACCTCATCCACCTCAACTTCTTCATCTAGCACCTCATCGACCTCAACATCATCGACCAGCTCGTCAACTTCATCTTCCAGCACCACATCCACCTCGACATCTTCTACTTCCAGCTCATCTACAAGCACTTCATCCAGCAGCAGCTCGACAACGAGCACCTCAACATCCAGCAGCTCGTCCACATCTTCCTCCAGCAGCTCTAGCACATCCTCAAGCACGTCCAGCACAACGTCCAGCTCCACTTCCAGCTCTAGTAGCTCAAGCTCCTCAAGCTCGACCAGTAGCACCACCAGCACCAGCACTTCGAGCACCTCGTCAGTAAAGGGAGCAGACGGGGCCGCAGCTGCAGGATAGCTTAAGTGCCTTCTGCCTCGTGACCGGCGAGATGGCTTGATTTCGAAGTAGCAGGAGCACATTTCGAAGTAGAAGGTCCTCTAAGACGAGGCTTTTGGTCTACCATGTCTTGACAGTGTCCAGGTGACCTTTAGAAAAGAACACATGCCACCCCGCAAAACGCTGTCCCCATTCATTTGATTTCAATTGCTTAATTTTCTTGTTTAAGCCCCACCCGTTTGAGACGCTCCTAAGTTGCCAAGTTTTTGTCGCCATCCTCTGCGTTGGACCTCGCCGGAGTCTTTGCTGCCGAGGCACCACGAATAGCACCACCACATCGTCAACCACCACCACGTGCCTTGGGCATGTTGACAGCTGAAGTGGTGAGGATTGTGATGCATCGCAGTTCGAACCGTGTAGAAGCGAGGGAGTTGGAGCTGTTGGTGTTTCGAGGTGGAAGTGGAGTTGACTGAGAATCTTGACGCTGTCCAGTTAATGGACAACGATCCTTTCCAAAAGGGTTGAACGTCCCACGACGTGTCGTGTGTCGTGCATGAACATCATGGGGTCCGGACCAGGGAGGGGACTGTAGGCCAGGGTGGAAGGTGGAACTAGCAGGCGATGCAAGGTGCGTAGACTCCTGGGGTCCAAAGGTCGGGAGGGGCTTTGGCGAATCGAAGCATCCCAGAATCGATAACTGGAGGACCTTCACGAGTACCTCCACCACCTTCAGCAGCACCTCCACCAGCAGCAGCTCCTCAAGCTCCACCAGCTCAAGTAGCACGTGCCTTGGCGTGTCGATACAGATTTTGAGGCGGCGAGTGGACGAGCAAGCAAGCTGTTTTGTTGCAATCCATGCATCAAATGCATCTGGCCATGGAAGAAGGGAGTCTTCGCCCAATCCTTCATACGGAGATGTCGGGGGTTCAGGTGGGAGGTGAAGGTGGTCAAAGGGCGAAAGATGGCGAAAGGGGGTAGTGAACATGACTTCGTCCCATGACCACCCAACTTTCTTGTTGGGATACGCTGAGGTCGCTGACCACAAGTAGCACCACCGCTGCTCGGCAGATAGCTCGCCCAAAGTCGAGGTTTTTTCAGCTCATGATAGGCGGAAGAACTGGAATTGATCATCGAAAGGGGGGTCGACGAAGGTTGGTAAGTGATTGGAAGCCAGCCGCAAGTACCCTGGCCAGGACATACATCCATGCCGGAAGAGGCACTCAAAGCTTCTAAGCAGGGTGTTGTATGAAGAAACTGCTTCTTGCAAGGATGGTGGGAGTCGGTGTATCATTGCCGCACCCACTACCACTCACCGCGTCAGAGGCGGAAACTAGATTCATGATCAACCTAGCACCAGGACGCGTTGAAGTGTTCGTCAACTGTTTCATGTATGACGAGATCCCCAGTTCCAATGGCAAACCAGAACCGTGCAGGAGAAAGCGGCCGTGTTTGGGTGCCGTTCGGCCTCGCTGCCCTCGACGAGGCGACCAGCAGCTCGACCACCTCCAGTTCCTCATCCTCCACGACTAGCTGCTTGGGCGATGGGGGTGGCGGAACCTGTTGGCCCTGGGTGTTGGCTCGGTCTCAACAATCACGGGCACCCAGGTTGGCTCGGACGGGATGCCTGACGGAGCAGTTGGACACATCTCCGGTTGCCGTGACCATGCCGTGACCATTCCCACTGGTCCATTGGGGAAGTTCATTTGCAAAATTCGGTTGGGGGGCCTGGCTATGTCATTCAGTAGAGCCTTGAAGATCTCTTGTATTGTAAGGCAGTGTGTTCGCACCACCCCAACAATCGCAACAGTCGATCAAGAGCACCAATTGACACTAGTGGCGATATCACATCCGTCGTGATGATGATGCGGTGATGGTCGCGAGACCAACGACACTTCACTCCCCTGAAGTATTAATTTCCCTACAGGCCAGGGCCTGTAGTGGTCGCATTGTCTCTGGTTTGACGGCCTGGTTTAGCAGACACCTCCATCCGCTCCATCCGAGGCTCAAGCAGCTCAAGCTCATCGCGCTTTGGGCCTGACCAGAGAGGGTAGTGAGGTCTGGCGTTTCTTTAGGTGTTTTCTTTCTTCAAGGACCTGCCATTGATGGTGTTCCTTTTGGGCTTAGAATGCGCCACCAACAACAACATTACCAAACCCAAAGACGGAACTTGCAGCATCTCTGGGAGAGATGCGGTTCCAGAGCACTTGCTGTACATCGGCACCATCAAATTGACCGGTGTCAAATATTCCTGTGGATTCCTGTGGCCTTTTGGCACGGGTGACCCACATTTTGGGAGGAGGGATCCGTGGGTCTTTCAACCTCTGCATGCCGCGGAGCTGAGGAGCAGCAGCAGCACCTCCTCCTCGTCAACCACCTCCTCTAGCACCTCCTCCTCATCCACCAGCACTTCCTCCTCCACCACCACCACGGTGGATCTCATGGCGCCCTGGCTTGGAAGACAACATCAGCGGGGGGGTGAGGGGGCCATTCATTTCATGTCATCGAACTTCTGCTCGGGTGGCTTGGCCAACTCACTCGAGCAGCGCCAGCATCCTTTCGGGGCCCAGCCTCATCGGCATCGTTTTCGGCTTCGGTGAAAACGAAGAAACGTCTTGGCCCCTGTCCCAAGATCCGCACACGCGGTGTGATGGACTTCAACTTGGATAGTGGCGATGTCGCGGAGGTGGAGACGGCCGTGGAGAGCACCCTGGTGCCTTGGAGAGCACCCTCCGAACTTCACGAGACTGTGCCCGGGGGTGGCTGGGACGGAGGTTGCAGCCGCCATGCACACATGAGAAGTGGGTTTCTAGAGGGGAGGGTTTTCAGGTGCTGGGAAGATCCGGATGGTTCGTTTGCAAGTGGGGCATCCGTCGGCTTCGCAACGGAAGAGACTCTGAGAGGCTCCATAGATCGATGGTTTCGAGGCGTGGAACGCTGAACGACGACTGAGGCGAACTGGTTTGGAGCCTTCAGCCACTTCGTTCGTTCAGAGGCGCCCGGGGCGCGGGATCCGTCATGATCCGTCCCAATGGGCGCCGTGAGAGGGACGAGGATGAAATGAAAGGTCACAGTGGGACGTGGGACTTGTCCAGGAGGCAATGGATGGCAGGAAGGCCTCAGTTGACACCTAAGTGAGTCTCTCTCACTTTTGCCCATGAGGGGCACTTATATAAACCTGAAAGAGCAGCACACAGTCTTACCGAGAAGAGGAGGTTGTTGCACCTGGCTTGGCCAATCTACATGTTCTTCCACAGGCCAGTGGCCTCCGGCGGCCACCGGAATCGCGGTTGGTCCAGCTCCCCACGCCGCTCGTTGACACTGCCAGCTCCCCCGCCCGTTGCGCCAGCTCGTTGCGCCAGCTCGTTGGGCTCCGACACGGCAGGCCGCCTCCTCGCTGAGCTCGGCTCGACGCCTGGAAGACCGGCGCTTGCAGGCCCGAGCATGGGCGGTGAGCTTTGACGTCTTCGTCTATGAGCAGCAGCTGGACAACGCTGCATGGCTGGAGGGGCTGGAGGAAGGTAAGCAGGAAGTTGAGGGAAGGTGAGGTTATGTCATGTAGTAAGTCTGAGAGGATGCGAAGATGTGGGAGGGAGAGCAGGCCGTACATCCTAGACAGTACAGAGGGTGGGCATGGGCCGGGGGATTTCGAGACTTTTCTAGGGGATGCGTCAGTGCTTCTCCAAAGGAACGTTCTCCACCAACCTGTGGTCTTGCCCCGCAGCGAACCCCGAACATCAGGTCACGGCCACGGTGACGGATCTGCGCACCGCGGCCGCGGAGGCGCGCTTCGCCGAGTGGCTCCAGCGGGAGCGCCTGGGACGGTCGTAGGGGTCGGAGGGGTGGGACGACCTCCGACATCCGCCAGTGATGGACCGTGACGCCTTTTTTGAACCCTTTTTTGGGGGGTGTGTGGGTTGGGGAGGTCAATCTGAACTCGAAATCCGGAAGATCCTGGGAGGGCTATAAACTACAAAGTTCTTTTTCTTGCAGCAATTGGTTGAGGTTCGACCAGTTAGCCCAACGACAAGAGTTTCATAAGTGCGCTCAGGATCGACGTTTTCCAACCTGGTCTTCATATGTGCTGTAGAATTTCTGGTGCACTCTTGCTGTTTTAGAGTCCCCAGCATTCGGATGCATGGCATGCTGGCTACCTATTTTTGTCCATCCGAGGCTCAATGGCCTTGGCATTGGTGCTGTGCCTTGGCTGGTTAAGCTTCACCGATATAGCCATGTATATATATATATATACACACCTAGAACCCAGTTGACTTGTTTTTTAAGACAATGTTTTGGCCCCAAAACAAGGGTCAACCAGGTTTAGCTATGTATACATACATAGCTTCATGTTTGAGTGGGTGATCGTTCTCGACTTTGTGCCCGTCCAATGACTCACAAAGAACATATTTCAGCGTGCTGGTTTGAAGTGAAATTGATGCCAGTCCGGTCTACAGAGTCTACATTGAAGCTGTACACATACCACACAACATATGTATGTATTTAGTCTCTAGACTCCAAGCCCCAAGCTTAGTCTCAGAGTACGGTGTCCTACCCAAAGACTGGGCCCGCCGGCCCACGCGTGTCTGCGCCGTCGGTCAAACCGAGGGCTTCTCCCTCTTCCGGTTCCGCGAGCTGGTCGACCCCTATGAGGCCAGGGCCGGAAAGCGGGGGCCAGGCCTGTGGGTGTCTGAAGATAGGAGGGTTGGGTGAACAAAAGGACTTTCGTAGATGTTGGAGAGAAATTGTAGGTAGGATGTGCTAAAAAGATGATGGAATGTAATGGGGAATGAGATGAACTCCTAGATGTTTGTGCTAGCGGAATTTTTACCGCCCAGAAAAACATCCAGAAAAACATGGATGTTTTGGAGATGGACGACTTCAGCACAGTGCCTCGATTCCGAGGGTTCAGATGTCATTCGGTTCAAATTACACATGCATACAGAAGAAACCCTTCTACGTTGCTACACAATGCGAGCGACTG